AATTTAAGCTAATTTTGCCATCATAGATTGTGAATAAATATGCATTAGAAAATTAAAGATTATGCTGCATATTTTTGGAGTCAATGAAGATAAAAATCATTTTTTAAATTTCAACAACACTACGACAAATAACACTTTTTATGACGAAATTTATACCTTAAACATGTCAAAATCGAGCATATAAGTCCTTGGAGTGACATATTTGATTATTTAAAAAAACAATCTTTTCTCTCGATTTTTAACTGAGGTAATATAACTATAAGTGAACGCCCGATTTTCTCCATAACAAATATTAAACTTATTACCCCAATGTTTTTGAAAGCTCATGGAATATAACTATAAGAGAACACATTTTGAATTCCTCTAATTGCATTTAAGGTTTTTTTCCAATGATTTCTCACTTGGCACCTTTCAATCTTCCTTTTTTTTTCTTAGTTAATTTTTTCCCCTCATTTTTCTTGTTAATTAGTAATTCTCAAAATTTTTGTTATCAATAAAAATGAATAAGAAATATTATGAAAGGAAATATTTCATTAATTAAAAACAGAACAACAAATAACTATTCGACATATTCAAATTTCTAACTCCACTCAACTTCAATAGTATCACTATTAACTATCTATAATTGAGAGAAAAGTTCAGAAAGAGCTCTTCCATACGGTATGAGGAAAGTCATTTCCTCCTTAGAGAGGATTGTCATTTCCATTAAGAAGATAAAAAATATAAGAGGAAGATTAACTCTGATGTTTTTGGTAAGAAATAATAAGAGATGTTTGTCATCCCATGTAAGCATTTCTAGTTGTTTCTCTCTTGGACGGAGATTTGACACTAGAAGTTGATGAAAAAAATTTCGATTGATCGTAGAGTAGCAGGACTGCTGAGATTATTGGAGTTGGCATAAATTAAGCAAAGATGATCTGAGTAAGCATTGTTGAATCAATAATGTTCGACACAACAATCTTCCTCTTTACAGTTTATTGTCTGAGCAATAAGCGACTAAGTAATTGTGATAGGAGAGTCATTGACATAGAACTAGATTGATTCAACATCATGATCAGATGACCCAACGGAGACATTTAATCAGAACTCTTTAATGAGATTAATGTAGATGGTTCCATGAAGAATGTCAAAGTAACCATTCAACTTTTGTTTGCGAATAGTTTTTCTCAATTCAAAATCTTTCTCTTTCAAATCATCGAAATCAACAAAATTTTCATTGATAACAAACAAAATATTTTTATCTAAGGTTGTTGAAGACATTTATAAAGAAAAGAAAAGACTTTGAAATTAGGTTTTAAGACACAAAGAGTTGGAAATGAGATGTTGAAATTAGGAATCGTGTTTAAATAAAGTGGAGAATAGAAAATGAAACAATAAGAAAAGCTCAAACGCCTCCTTGAAAATCCAAAAGATACGTTACATTTTTTAATATGGATGATCATTGCTATTCTAGTGATATGATTCTAATGCGCACCATGATTTTTTTTAGAAATAGAAATCACATATTACCAAAAATCAAGGGGACAATCAACTTATTATCTCAATTATTCAAAATATTCGAGGGGGGAAAATAATTCAGAATCTTTTTTTTTATTATTATAATTTTTTGTAAACTAAATTATATATCCGATCGGTTTTCTTAATTACCGAGAGAATAAGATAATCAGATTATACTATAAAAGCACTCGTTAAACCAATTTGACCCAAATCCTAACTTATATGTATTCGCTCCAAACTCGAACGCATCATTCTTTTGGGATCCATCTCAAAAAATGGCGTTGCTATTGTTATTGTGGTATTTAGAAGATTGAAAAAGTTCTCTATAATGGATTGCAAATGCAGAAAAACATTTTTTCAAATTTGGAACAAATAATTTCTTTAGAAGTTGGATGCATTCAATGCTTGGAACAGATAACTACTAGAAATTGGATGCATGCAATATTTGGAACACATAACTCCTTACACCAAAATTCTTCTTTTTCTATATTATTGTTTTTTAATATTCTCTGTAAACAATATAATTTAAAAAAGATATATCCGAGGGAATAACTTAGCGTGACAATTTTAGATATTGATCACCATCCTTAAACAAATATTTGTCATCCATTTCATGATTATCAATATTCAATACACTACCATTAGTGATCCGCGTGAAACCTAAAAATTTCCATTATAAACGTCTTCTGATATCTATACTTGATAAAGAAACGTCATGAAGCGCTTGGAACTATCTACATCTTCCACTTTAACTTTTGTCATTAAGAGTTCTCTATGATGGATTGCAAGTGCTGAAAATTATCTGAGTTTAAAATTTGTGTTTTTAAATATTCATTTAAGCAAAAAATCATTTATTTTTGTAAGCCTTTTTTTCTAAACTTTTTTTTGTTTTATATCAGAAATAAATACTTGCAAGGTGAAGCATTTGATCTTGCTCAAATATCAAAGAGTTGAAGATCCAATATATAGTCTTCAAAGATAAATTAATTTTTATTTTAATATTATGTGTAAACAATGTAATAATCTGGGTATACATTGTAGTTTGTAAACAATTTTTTATTTTGTTCTCTGTGTAAACAATGTAACGAATTTCAATTAAAAAAATAATTTATCTTACCTATGTATGAGACACTAGTTTTGTAAATAATAAAAATGTTGATGTTGGGGTTCAAACTCATGTGCAAATTAATATACCCCTCAGTGTTTAAAAAATCAAGGTCATAAGCTATTACTTTTCATGACGTCCTTCGTTACCTTGCTAATGCAGCTGTGGTAAAATGCATTTCATGACCGACGTTAAAAACACTTTTTGTAGTAGTACAGATGCACAAAACTGATGTGTCTGTATTACAATGATGCAACATGCAAACAATAGGGAACATGTTATGGTTGTCGAGCAAAAACAAGAACTTAATCTTCTCAAAGAGAGGGGGTTATAATATAATATCTAAAATGGGGGGAACTAATGTGATGATTAGTGGCCCATCTTTGTTTTTAAGAATCCACAAGTAGTTCTTTTGATGGTGTAGTTATCATTAATGCCATTGAAAAAAATAACGTCTTTAGTGTTATTGTTGAAGCTTATATCTTTGTTGATGACCTCTAATAACATCGGGAGAAAATTGAGTGCACAAAATATTGAGGAGATATGAGTTGATAATGTGGGTGTCTTTCACGGTTATAGCAAGGTATTGGATAAGAACATAAGGTGAGTTGGCTATAATGAGACGAATGAAAGTCTATTGACTAAACCTAAAGAATGAAAAGTCATGACCCACCCTTCAATCAGGGATAGAGAAAACTAAGAACATATGGAAAAAGTGTTTTTTACAAGGTTGTAGATGTCATTATCAATAATGCGGCAATATTTCTTGAAAGAAAAATTCAGAATTTCAAGGAAGGACACATATGGTGGGATAGAGAAAGCTACATAAGTAGGAGAGTATGAAGGCGGGGGTACAAGAGACAATGAAGAAATTGGAACTAGAAAGAGATTAAAGTGGAGGATTCAGATAGAAGAGAAGAGAAACAGAGTAAACAAGTTTGCAGCACGTGACTGGAGAGGATCTAGATAGCGAAGTAATAGGATTCAACAGAAATCAAAAGAAAAGAACAAGAATTGAGAATGAACAAATGATTATTTTTGAGATAGCCTTCTAGAGTCCGCCACATAATCTCTCAAATTTGAATTACAATTTACAATAATGGCAATCTCCCACTATTCACTCTACCTCCCATTCATTTAGATGTACAGTAAGATAGATACATATTGTCAGCTCATTAAGCGTTAGTGGCCCATCTTTGTTTTTAAGAATCCACAAGTAGTTCTTTTGATGGTGTAGTTACCATTAATGCCATTGAAAAAAATAACGTCTTTAGTGTTATTGTTGAAGCTTATATCTTTGTTGATGACCTCTAATAACATCGGGAGAAAATTGAGTGCACAAAATATTGAGGAGATATGAGTTGATAATGTGGGTGTCTTTCACGGTTATAACAAGGTATTGGATAAGAACATAAGGTGAATTGGCTATAATGAGACGAATGAAAGTCTATTGACTAAACCTAAAGAATGAAAAGTCATGACCCACCCTTCAATTAGGGATAGAGAAAACTAAGAACATATGGTAGAAGTGTTTTTTACAAGGTTGTAGATGTCATTATCCATAATGCGGCAATATACTTCTTAGGAAGGCCCTTAACATAAAGCTTGTTTGTTGCTTGTAGCATGTCCCATATGAGTTTTTCAAGAAGAGAATTATTAGCATCCATGGTTGATATAACTCCAAGGCCATCCTTGTTTTTAGGAAAAATCAATAAATTTTTATTAGATGATAATATAAAATTATTTTTGACTATCAGTGCACTACTTTTAATCTTTTTATATAAGTATATTTAAACTTAAATTATTTTGAATGAATATTTAAATAACTTTATATTTAATTTATTTTTAAGAAAAATCATATAAAAAAAATATTTTTTGGTCAAAATTTTTTACCTCATCAATAAATTATAATTATAAAATTATTAAAAATATTCTATTTTTATTATTGTTATCCTAACACAATTAACTAAGAAAGAACAATGACCCAAACTTTTTTCACCAAGTATATTTTAGTAGAAACCGAATATTTTTTACACAACTGTTAAGATTAATTTATATAGCCAATAAAAAAATATCTTTTACTCTCTCATATAAGCTATTGAGTTTTCAAATTGGTTAAAAAATCTAAAATTCTTATTATGTTTTCACTAAAAAAGAAAAAAAGTTTATAGTGATTACAAAACAATACACTTTATTAATCAACATTAGGCAAATATGGTATTAATTTTGACAATAATCTAATAATCCAATGAGACCCCACCGAACGCGTGGTGTAACCAATCAGAAAACACCATTCTTCCTTTGCTCTGTCACTACACTTCTTCTTAAACCCCTCTCTCTCTCTCTCTCTCTCTCTCTCTCTCTCTCTCTCTCTCTAGTTTTCTTCAATTCAATCAAAATGCATTCCTTTGGTTACAGAGCGAATGCTTTATTCACCTTCGCGGTTACGATTCTCGCTTTCATCTGCGCCATAGCTTCCTTCACCGATACACTCAATTCTCCGTCTCCTACTGTTGAAGTCAAGGTATGTATCTAAAACCCCTTTCAGTTTCGGGAATTCTTGATTTTTAACTTCGTTTGTGATTTTGGGGATTTAGGTTTTGAATATCAACTGGTTTCAGAAACAGCCTAATGGAAATGATGAGGTAAATCGTTCGTTTGTTATTGTTTGATTATTGTAAAAAAAGTGATTTTGATTTGTAAATGTGGGAGAAGCTGTGTATGTTAGTCTATGATCTTGTTGAAATTATAGAAACAACCTTAATTGTGTTTTGTTAGTACTTTTGTAGACCAAATTGACTTCTTAGTGTGTTTTTTTTAGTGATTTTGTTTGCGAAAATGAGTATTATAGGCTTTGATTGTGTTGAAATTAGAGAAAAACTCCTTAATTGTGTCTTTTGTTGGGAATTTTATAGGTCAATTAACTAGTGAAAGAGTCGTTTGAGGGACCAAATGACTTACAAAAGACACATTGTATGCTTTTGTAGTTTTGATATGTGGAGGACTATTGTGACAATTTATGTGTGTTGTTTTGTTTTGATACATTGTTCTGATAGCAGCTCATACACTTAAGAATTAAAATGATTGGTTTGGTATCCCAGCGGGGTTGCCTCTTGACTGATGTTTCCTCTCATTCTTTCATTCACTAAATTCCTTCTCAATATCATTCCAGCACATCACAAATATGAATTGAATTTCTATCTATCACTCTCTTAAGTATAAACTCATTACCTTTATACACACAAAAACAACCTTAGGCATAGACAGAAACTAAATTGTTAAGAAACGTGGCTGGGCCTAACTCATCCCTACAAAACCAATTTGTAAAACCAACTTGTAAGGTGAGCCCTTCATGCCCAAGACTAGACATTTCAAATGGAAATAAATGGTAGGTTGCCCGATAGCGAAAAACCTGATAGCAGGTGGCCCAATGAATCTTAAACGACACTTTGATATCATGTTATGAAATGTGGTTGGACCTAACATACATATTAACCACAGTAGCTTTTGTAAAATCACGGAAGTTTAAGTGCATACCAAACATTTATATTTGTTGTCTTCTCTACTATTAGAACAAAATCACACACTGAGGCACATATGGTCTGATCTTTTCCTCACATTTATTGCGACTGGGATTCAAATTTGAAATTTCTCTGTTTGTTGATTATGGAAAAATTCCATCATAAACCATTGCATAGGTTGTTTTGTTGTGAATAAAAAAGCTATAGCTGAGCAGAAATGTCCCCTTTTGTGACACTTAACACTAGCTATCCAGCGGTTTATCATCTGCAAGTTGCGGCAGAATAGCTCTCTAGCTGCTGCTAAATGGTCTTAATTTATCTAGATAGGGCTCCTTCAACATATAAAATTTGTATATCAAATACAACAACAATAACAACCAAGCCTTATCCCACTAAGTGGGGTCGATTGCATGTATTAACTTTCACCATAATGTTTTATCCAAGAGCATGCTTCTATCCAAATTGTTAATTTCGAGATTTTTCTTATAGTCTTTCTAGGTCTTCCTCTTCCTCTAGTTGTTTGACTTCCCTCCATCTGATTTACTCTTAAATATTTAATCTAATCTCCTTTTCTAGGTGTGACTTCGATATTATACCCTCGATTGACTTGTTTTTTAGTGTTAAATTGCAAATATGGGGCCTAACTGAGTTTAGTTTTTTTGCAAAGGCAAAAGTAACTTATATTATAATCAAACCCAAGCGCAAGTTGTGCTAGAGAGAAAAAAGATCACAAGCAAAAGCTAACAATAAAACGTGAGCTACATGAAGAGGGCAAAAAAACATAATTGAACTAAAAACAACACAATAATTTTACCCCCTACCTAAGTTAATACTTGTTTCCTTGACCAAAGCTTTGCTATATAGAGTCCTTTCGGTTTATACAAAATTTTATTTATCTAAGTCACTAATAGTAAAGCTTTAAAAGTCAAGATTTGGTCTTCATTGTCCAGCCTGAGCTATACATCTCCGCTGACCTTAGGTTTTGCACACACAGCATTGGGGTTAAGAAAACTGTCGAAAAACGTTTCATCTCAAAAGCTTATCTGGTTTAAGATTTATACTTTCAACTTGGGCATTTTCTATAGACTTCAACACGTGTACAACATCATGGATTTGATTGATGATGACTTACGACTTGGCTTTGGAACTTTTCAAGTTAGCTAAAATTGAAATTCAGGACTTGTATGGCAGTAATTATGTGCCAGTAATTTGAGTGATTGAAATTCAGTTACACTGATTGCATATCTAGTTTGATGGTATCCTCAACTTAAGAGTAGACTATGGTTTGTTATTTGTTAAGTTGTTAAAGCACTTGGAACTCATGTGTGTATATAATGTTTACGTTTATTCTCATAACCATTTTACCAAAATTCATAATACTTTCCTATCTGAAGCAAGAGCCTTTCCATTCTTGCAGGTTAGCTTGACTCTGAATATATCAACAGATTTACAAACCCTTTTCACATGGAACACAAAACAGGTTCTTGACTTCAACTTGCATTTTTAACTTTTCTTTGCTTTCTGAAATGTATATAAAAGCAATAAATATCAGGAAATTTGACGGGAAGGAAGAATGAAAACTAATTTTGCTTATTTTGTTATATTGTCAATTTTGCACGTCTAGTATATTTGGGTCTGTTGACAAACTTAGTTTTGCTTCTTTCCTATGCTTGCAGGTTTTTGTATTTTTAACCGCTGAATATGTAACTCCAAAGCATGTCTTGAATCAGGTACGGTTTCTTTAGTTAGCTAGTTTGCATCCTCAGTAGAAATACACATGTAGGGTCCATTATGTTTCGTAGTTTTGTTTTCATTTCAGTTAACAAACTTAAGTGAATGCCGATATAATATTTTCCACACAGTTTTCATTTATATATATATATTTTTTGAATAGATGCATTTTATGAATTTTTTGAAAACGGGAAGAGATTTTCTTTATTATATCTTTAAGTGCATTCTTTTTAGTCTGTCTTTCATTTTTTATACATCACAATTGTTCACTCTATCTCCTTAGCAACTTAAAATCGACACAAAATGTTAATAGTTGGTTGGTGGATCTCAAATTTCATTATTATGGTGGCAAATTGAATGTTTGTGTTACCCGGATAACCATCTATTTGCTTGTTATGCTGCATGCATCTCTGTCATGTTCTGTATATGCTGTGTCATATATGTTGCTTAGGTTCTCGAGATGCCATTTTACAGATATCTCTCTGGGATGGAATCATTCAGTCAAAAGAGCACTCAAAGTTTACAATCACCACATCGAATAAATACCGCTTCATCGATCAGGTATTCATCTCTTCAACGATATTGTGTCTAATCTGTATTGCTTGTATCGCTTTAAACTTCATTTATCCTTAATACCATTTTTTGTGTGTCCAGGGAAGCAATTTGCGCGGCAAAGATTTTAACTTTACTCTGCACTGGCATGTTATGCCAAAGACTGGCAAAATGTTTGCAAACAAGATAGTCTTGCCAGGTTACCGATTGCCCGAGGAATACAGATGATGCCTCTTTGTTATGTTAATGTTTTTTAATGTGTAACTTTAGTTTTTCTTTTTCTTTCTAAAACTGGTATAGAACATTCCTTCACAGAACTAGAATCAGGGGAAAGAAATTTGTGTGTTGGATAGTGGAAATCAATAGCATTGAATACTTGAATATTTGAAATTTTCTTCTGGTGTGGTCTCCAAGTATCTCAGTTTATTGTTCATCTAAGTAAAAAATCTTGAGCCTATTCTATCTCATTCCACTATATTTGATCATATAATATCAATTTAGACACTTTCTCAACATTTTCAAAGTGCGAAATTCAAAAAATTCTTTTGCCATTTTCTCAACATTTTCTTTTTGGCAATATGTAGATGAGAATCGCTAGAAACATTTTTCTTTTTCTTTTTATTAATTTTTAACATTTATTCTCTTATTGGATGTAATTTATGTAAAACTCACACTTTGAAAATATGTCTCACATAAATCTTGAATTTGAGCTGATAAAAAATTGAATATTAAAGGGAAAATAAATAAATAAATTAGTTTTAGCTCTCTTCATATGTATATTGGGGTGTTATTCTATTTTTCATCTTGAATTTATTACATTACTACTGTGTTTTTGTCCATTGCGCCTCCTTAAGAAGAAATTTTCTAAAAGGGAATTCTTAATGCATACTATATCTTACTAGTACCTTATGCATTAATTCTAAAAGATATTGGCATACATATTTTATCGAAGATGCATCGTCGGTTATTTTATGGAGATGCATCTTCGTAACATATCAAAATTGTATGTTATGTTTTGTTTATGTTTATTAAGATAAGAATTTATAATTGTCATGTACCATGTTATGTGAAGAGATTTAAATCATACAATTGATATGTCAAAAGTTATATATATATATATATATATATATATATATATATATATATATATATATATATATATATATATATATATATATATATATATATATATATATATATATATATATATATATATATATATATATATATATATAACTTTTGACATATCAATTGTATGATTTAAATCTCTTCACATAACATGGTACATGACAATTATAATATATATATATATTCCGATGGTCCAAAAATGACATATATAAATAAAGTTGAAATACACGATAGAGTACCATGAACGAAAAATAAAATACAATTCATAATGAATCTAAAGTACAACTATTATATACTACTACACTACTGTGTATGTCAGACTACATCTCCTCTGCATTCTCTAGTTCCTCTGACTCTTCGAACTCCTCGGCCTCCACTATCCTCCGTCCTTCAGCACTGTCTCCGGTACACTAATAACCCCGGTGCCTCCGTCATGATGGCATCTAAAACCTGCCTCACATCAAACCTATCAGAGAAGATTCCTCTATCAATGTCTGTATTCGCAATCTCCAATATGCGACGACATCTAGGCAAGACATCCTCAACATGATCTAAATGTGTCTGCTCTTCCTCTAGTTTTTATTGATGAGGTAGCCTTGATGGGTCTCCTGGAGTAGCATGCACTATATACATATGTGACTCCCTGAAGAACCACCTGATGTACCCGTCGACATAGCTCTAGTCGCTTTTAGCTATGATACTCTGTGCGTCCTCTGGTACTAGATGAATCTCATAATCATCAAACATGACTTTCATCTGTCTACGTGTCAAAGTAGGAGGAACATATATAACAAGGTGTCTGGAAATAGTCTGAGTGTAGCCGAATTGCCGCATCACGTGCTTGGGCAGATGAGAAGCAGTGATGCGTGATCCGCATGTCAACCATCTCAAGTATAACATTATCTTGTCAAATGGCCGCGTCTCACGATGATCTACATAGTTGTTGAAGTGCATGTCCTCAGCAACCAAGAGGTTAAGATACACTCTGAACGACTCTGTCGCACGGTTTCCTATGAGTGGGACAAATGCAGTAACACACGGCATATCCTCAGTGTAAGTCGGTATACTCGCTCAACCGGAGATACACAGGAATTGCTGGAGGATCCAAGCCTGAAAAGTCTGGAACACACGAATCATTAGTAATGTCATTGTAAAGATGAAATAAAAAGGACACAAAAACATTAAAAGAACAATAAATATTGTCGTCAATAGTGTGATGCTACCTGTGACCTGCTTCGTCTTCCACATACAACCCTCTGATAACTTCGAGTACAAGTAGACCAAAAAAGTGGTCCCCCAGTTGTACTCATGGATCCGCTTGAAATTCTCGAAGTACCGTAGGTAGACGACATCTGTATAAGTGGAACTTTTATCCACAAAAATCGCAATGCCAACCAAATATAGCAGGTATGCTCTTATAACATACGCTTTATGGAGACCCACCTTCTCATCAGTGCCTCTAGCCCCCTAAGCTCTAAGGAGCTCACCTGTATATATATTTTTTTTCAGGAATTCAAATCTACCATGAGCCCATCTGTTTCTGGCCATCTTCGATATCGCAACCTTTGGATCAACTCCCAGATAGTCTACCAACAACTCGAGTGCCTCACCTTTGCTAATCTTTCAATGATCTAGAATTTTTTCCCTGATTGAAAGACGCATCAAACACGACACATCGTCGAGTGTGATAGACATCTCACCTAGCGGGAGATGAAATGACAAGGTCTCGATGTGCCATCTCTTCATGAATGCATTAAGCCTCCCGCGGTTGACCCTAATATAACCAGTTATGCACAAGTCCTTCATCCCACGTAAGGATAAAATTTCCCAAAACCACTCCTCATTCGGATGAGGCAAGCCAGTAGTCTTTCGCCCGCAGTTAATAAAATTCACTGAATCACGATCCTGTTGAAAATAAAAATCAATGTCAAAAACTTGTAATATATTGATAAACGTAAATTAAAAATAATGAATCCAACTAATGCTACCTCTCAGTCCCAAATATGTATGACAATATGGTCTGGGTATATAGGAAGCAATGACAACTACAGAGCATCCTCCAAATGGCTTGGCTCAATATCCTCAGCGGCCTCACCATCCGTGGGTGGCATTGGCTCAGCAACATCAGCAGTAGGAGGTGGCACTAGCTCTGCATCATTAGTAGTAGAATGTGGCACTAGCTCAGAAGCATCATCCATCGGAAGTGGCACTGGTGCCTTGGGTACCACTATTGACTCGGGTACCTATGGCGCTTGAATAGGAGAAACCTGACGCCTGTAGGAGGATGGAGGGAGTGATGTGTCAGTATGTGAGAAGAAAAATATTGAGAAGCATCATCCCTAGAAGTAGATGTCTCTGCATGGCCATAGTGAACAAGAGCCTCTGAAACTTGATTCTTCTCTCGTCGAACTGATGCATGATGTGCAATCGTCTCGTGCCTCATCCTATCATGTCTATCAGCCATAATACATGTAAGCTAAAGTAAACTAGACAATTAGTGCAAGCAAGCAACACTACAAACAAGAAAAGAAAAAAATAAAATAGACAACTAATTTATAGAGATGCATCTCCGGTTGTCACAGGAAAACTTTAAGGTTGAAAAATTCTGGAGATACATCTCCGGAATTTTCTGTAACTCTCCAGTTCATTAATAGCGGCAATACAGAAATGCAAACCTCAAAATAAATGGTTTGATTGTGGTTTTCAACAAACAAACGTGTTTTATAGCATGTATAAATAACATTCTTGCACTTCCTACTCATTTGATACCTAAATCATCATTTTCTACATATTTACACAAAAACTTATCAAAACATCAAAAACTTACAGTTTTTCACTTTGATTCAGTGTTGGATGATGCTTCTGATGTTGTTTGAAGATCCTTTGAGCTTGATTATTTGATTTTGGATGTGAAAAAAATATTTGAGAGTTTGAGAAGGTTTTGAGTTTTTTTTCAAAAATGAGGAAAGAGAAGGGTTCTGACGCGATTTAAGCTCCAATACCTTCCGGAGATGCATCTTCAAAATAAATTTGAAGATGCATCTCTGAAATATTTTAACGTTAACTTAAAATTTGGCGCGTCCAGAGATGCATTTATAAAATCTGAGAACATTTTAGTATTTTTCACGTGACGCTTAAGTAATATAAAGAGTGCATTAAGAAATTCCCTTCTAAAAAGAATAGAGAAAAAATTGACTATTTTCTTAACATTAACACCTACTTTGTCCCTTTCTACGGTCTTATTGTTCCAAACCTATATTAATATGTAAGATAAAATTGAAATTCCTTCATTATAACCCCTAGAGCATAATTATAGATCATATTGCAAAGTTCCTATTCAGTTTTTTATACTACAGTATAAGCTAATGTGTAATTGAAATGAAAAATTGTTCTTTAGTTTGAGAAAGTTGTTACATTAAATCACGTTTATACACTACTTTTTCAATTATTTGCTTATCTTTCTTAATATTTTTATTAAAATTGTCCAAATTAATACAAATGTGAAATATAGTGTAAGATTTGGTATAATCTATTTTAAATTTTTTAAATAGTTACATGGATATTTAAAAAATATATTTGAGTTGTTTAAAAAATTAGAAAGAATGAAATAATATATAAAATTGTGTAGGACCCATTTAAAGAACTTATACGGGTATGATGGATGTGGATGCTAATAAGAGAACAAAATGGATTGTACTCATCGGGTTCACTTACTTAGCTTTCTATTTTTAGTAGGAAGAGTTAAAGTTTCCAATTTTTTCCCTCTACTTTGTCAGTTTTGTCCAATTTTTAACATAATTTAGTAGGTGTAAGTGTGGATCTAAACAGAGGTGGACATGACTTTCTGTCGTTTTAAGCTTTAGGGGGCGGTAGAGCGCCATAGTTATGATTTCAATGCTTAAAGAGATTAAACTCATATTGAACGAGATTATTCGATGCTTAAAGAACTACTTGGGATGCTTTGCAAGTGGTAGACCAAGGGAAAGGTACGTTGTCAAATATAAATTCTAGGATAATACTCTATCTGTGCACTTTCAAAGCATGTTTATAAGATCATACTCGGTCTATAGTTGAGTCAATAGCACCCTCAAAATTTAGTG